GGTGCCAGCCCTGGGATTAGAATGTATATGGATGGGAGTCCTGGAGGGGTGCTCTTTTTGCAGGAAGAGGGGGTTATGGACATCTGGAAGGGAGGCCAGGGATGGCCTTCTGGTCGAAGGGAGTGGAAGAGGAAGGGGGTAAAGCTTCAAGCACAAGGATATTTGCTAAAGAATTATTTGTAAGAATCGAAAAGGTAAACAACAGAAGTGTCTTTTTAAAGGTTTTAATTAAATCAGTTAATTATTAAATCAATTCAGCAATTTAAGCAATCAAACTAATTTAAATAAATTAATTATGAAATAATGGAAAAGGTAAACGATCTAAGTGAGATTGCATTAATAAATTATGTCAGTTTAAAAGAATGGACTATGTGGCTGTTTGCAATGCCCAGGTAAATTACATTTTAAAAATTACAGTCTTTTTAAAAAAGATATTTTAGTACCATGAGAAAATGATTCTGGAATAAGGTTAAGTAAAAATGCAGGATATGATATTTATACAAGTATTATGATCTCACTTGTATAAAAATACATATAGTAAAAAGACCAGAGGAAATACACTACAGTGCTAACAGTAATTATCTGTGTACGGTGGGAATATGAGGGTATAATTTTCTTCTCCTTTTTTGTATTTTCCGTATTTTAAAATGGACAGCAAACTATTACTATAAGATTTAAAAATTGTATGAGTGAGATTAGATGGGGAAGAAAGGGGCAAAGACTGATCTGGACAGTATGCAGGAGTCCATTGAAGCTGACCTGGCTGCCATGTGGGGGACGTGCTGCCAACAGGAAGCAGGGGCCCTTCAGGGTAGCTCCGGTGGGCCCCTGGCCAAGTCACCCCCTTTCTGGGCCCTTGTGGTCTCTGTGTAAGGTGGGAATATTGATCCTTCTCCCAGAGGACAGTTGTGATTTTCTCATAGAGGCTAAGAGTGCAAAACTCCGATACTTGCCTTTCCCTTTGGCAGCAGTTACCCTAATTTCTGGAGAATCTAACAATCTTGGAGTTGGAAACTGCTTCAGATTTTGAATTCAGCCCACTAACTGGCACATAAACACCCTCCAAAGCAGCCTTTTCCCAACAACCACTATAATAAGAATCACTCGTTCAGTGCACATTCCTTGGCCCCATTTCTGACGCACTGGACCAAAACCTCCAGGGAGGCATCTGAGAAGCTCTGTGGTTAAGAGGTGCCTCAGGTGATTCTCATCACAGGGACATCTGGCAGCCTGTTTTGGAACAGTGCTTCTTAAACTGTAGTGTGCATGAGATTCTGATTCAGTCTGGGGTTGGGGCCTGATGTTTTGCTCGTCTAACAAAGTCTCAGATGACGTGGATGCAGCTGGTCCATCCACACTTGGGGATGGAGGCGCTATAGCATCCCAACCAAGTGGTGCATCAGCAGGTGCTTATAGTACCTCTGGAGACCCAAAATGATAGATTTTGACGATTTTAAAAAGAGAGGAGCCCAGGTCCCCTGGCAAATGGGGCCACTCACCACTAGAATCCAGCTCTTTGGCCTCCACTGTCAGGTTACACCAGGGGTAGACTTCTCTGTCCAGCTCCTTCTCATTGTAAATATTCCCCTGCTTGGTTATTCCGAAGAACTGGCCCTTGTCACTTGTCCTGCGGATGGAGTATCTGCCCACGGGAGAGAGTTTCAAGGTTTTCCGTTGTTCTTTGCTGAGTCCAAACTCCCCAGCAGGACAGATGAGACCCTTCAGGATCTGTCCCTTGCATCCATCACCCATCCTCCTCTCACTGCTCATTGCACTTGACCACCCAGAGGGAGTCAGAGTAGTGAGATGATCCCTTTGATGTTGGCAGTGTTGCCATCACTGGGCTGAGGGTGGTACTTGAGACTCCATCAACAGCACTTTCAGAGTTGAGGCAGGTGGCACTATAATCAACTATACCACAGCTTGGATCGGATTTTGTGATTAATGAAGAGATAGTTGGGCAAGAGCCAGGAAGAAATAAAAAAAGGGGCTGGAAGAGGTGCGAAGTGATTGAAAGGAAATTAAATTTGTGAAGTAAAAATTGGAAAAGTTCTTCAGGAAAAAGCCATGAAGAGAAGAAAAGAGAGATGAAAATATATAACATTACAAATATATATTTTTCTTATACTGAGGAAAATTCCAGAACAAAGAGAATAGAAGAAATAACAAAAGATATCATAAAAGAAAACTTCCTGATCAGAAGAAAGGCCCAAGTTTATAGAAGAGGTCATTGATATCAGGCACAATTTTAAAAAGAGATCAATATTTAGCTATACCCTGATGACACTTTTGAATTTCAGAGCTATGTAAAGAAACCAAAAAGAGTCCAGACAGAAAAGATACGTCCTTATAAAGAAAGAGAAATCAGACTCACCCCACACATTCTCACAAAGTTAAATGCTAGGACACATTGATAATATTTTTGCTTTGTAAATATGCAAGGATTCAGGAAGTATATCATCCACAAGATGGGTCCTGAAAAAAATTTTTTTTGAAAACTCACTTCATTAACAAGTGTCTCAAAATAAAGTGAAAAAAAAAAATCTGGTTTGGGAGGAATTAAAATTAAACTATTGATATCTTTATCATATATAGGAAGGCAATGGTGTGTGGGTATGTGTGTGTGTGTGTGTGTGTGTGTGTGTGTGTGTGTGTGTGTGTGTGTGTGTGTGTGGGAGAGAGAGAGAGAGAGAGAGAGAGAGAGAGAGAGAGAGAGACAGAGAGAGAGAGAGAGAGAGAGAGACAGAGACAGAGACAGAGACAGAGAGAGACAGAGAGAGACAGATTTTTAACTAGAAAATATTGGTCCAGGAAAACATTTAAAATTTTACAGATAGAAGTAAATCTCACTGGTAGAAGTAAAAATGCATGTACTCCATCCAAATATCTACAAGAAATAACATGAAAAAATAGACTCTACAACAAAGATGGGGGAAGAGAAAAAAGTAATTAAGTTTGAGAAATAGCAAATGTAAAACAAGATAAAAGAAGCAAGATCAAACATATCATTTACAATGAAAAATGTAAATAGGTTAAACACAAAGCATCTCAGTTTAGATTAAAAAGCAAAGCCATGAGGGCACGGTGGGGGAAGGGGAAGCTGGGATGAAGAGAGAGTAGCATGGACATATATACACTACCAAATGTAAAATGGATGGCTAGTGGGAAGCTGCTGCATAGCACAGGGAGATCAGCTCGATGCTTTGTGACGACCTAGAGGCGTGGGATAGGCGGGGTGGGAGGGAGGCTCAAGAGGGAGGGGATATAAGGATATATGTATACATATAGCTGATTCACTTTGTTGTACAGCAGAAACTAACACAACATTGTAAAGCAATTATACTCCAGTAAAGATGGAAAAAAAGCAAAGCCAATTACATTCCAGTTTCAAGAGACAACTTACTGCCAATGACCTAGAAAAAATTAAAAGTAAAGGTTGGAAATTTTATTTCAGGCAAACATGAGTAACATGAAAACAGGACTGACAAACTTTACATCAGGCAACATGGAAGTGAGGACAAAATGTTTAAGCCGAACAAACTGGGTAATGTCATAAGGATGAACGTGACAAGTCATAATGAAGGTAAAATAGTTATAAACCTTTGTTAACTGAATGGAAAAATTAAAACACATAGAGCAAAAGCTTAGATATTCCAGAAAAAAATGGGCAAAAAGACACACAAAGACAATTGCATTACATCACAGAACAAGTTAAAGCAAAGCCCAAAAATTGCCCTACCAATTGTAAATGAAAAAAAAAGTCTCTTACATAAACCATTGGATCAATGAAGAAATAAAAATGATCATTACAGACCATTTAGAATAGAATGGCCATGAAAACAGTTGTCCTAAAATTTATGAGATGTGATCAAAATGGAGGTACACAGTTGTCTTTAACAGGAAGACCTGATAACAGAGAAACATTAACTCTCCCCAAATTGATATATAAACACAATTCTCATTAGAATTCTGATGCTTTTTTAAAAACTGAAGACTTTTATGGTTCACATGGAAGAATGAATGTTTGAGAATGCATTAAAGATATATAAAGTGAAAAAACACTTGAGGGAGGGACTCGCTGTATACATACCAAGTTTTAGTATCAAGCTGCTACAGTAAAACAGAATGGCTTTGCCACAGAACAAAGGATTCAGAAATAGATTCAGGGATATACAGGAACTTAGTGTGTGACAAAGGTAGAAAACGATGACTTATTATTATTTTTTTGCGGTACGCGGGCCTCTCACTGCTGTGGCCTCTCCCGTTGCGGAGGCTCCGGACGCACAGGCTCAGCGGCCATGGCTCACGGGCCCAGCCGCTCCGCGGCACGTGGGATCTTCCCGGACCGGGGCACGAACCCGCGTTCCCTGCATCGGCAGGCGGACTCTCAACCACTGCGCCACCAGGGAAGCCCACGATGACTTATTTGATTAAAGGTGCTGGCACAGTTGGCTACCCCTTCAGAAAAAAGTGAGATTGATGGCACTTCACACTCTCATATGTTGTGCGGCTCTTGAAAGTGTGAGTTGGAACTATATCTTTTGTCACAGAGGGTAGAGGAGAGGAGTCTAGTTCAGATAGAATAACAAGTAGTGATGAAATGGGTATAGTATGATCCAAAAAAATTTTAAAACAATCAAATCCCCCAAACAAACAAAGGACAAATCCACCATAAAAGTATGTAGATGTTTGTGTCGTCACAAGGAAAGGCATGATAGGACCACAGCACACCATGAACATGAGTTGTCTGGAAATCAGGGTTACTGATGTTTTCTTTATAGATCCTTGTGTTGTTTCACTGTGTGAAATAAACACTTTTTCCTTTTGTGGTTTTGGGAAGACAAATGTAATAAATCATGTTTAGTGAAGGGGTTTCATGGATGTCAAGTTGGCTGCTCTCTTGACTGTCACATCTCCCCAGATGGGACCTGTGGGAACCCGTACCTCCCCTTCAAGGTAGAGCAGACAACGGGAAGCTCTGATGGCCAGGACCATGCTAGGTATGTGCCTGGGCAGAGCAAGATTCCACCTGGCCACATGGGTTAGTGGAAGAGCTTGGGCTTCTTGCCGTGCCTCTGTGCATGTCGCATGTACCTTCCGGGAGAAGCCAGTTTCCCCCTCTGAGTCCTGGGCTCAGTCCAGCAGGCCTAAGAGCCTCAATGCCTGGGTGGTGTCGTGATCATCAACATCGTCACGCCTTCCACCCCCCCCTTACCTGATGCTCCGCTTAGCGGCATCGGGGTCCATGGCCAGCACTGAGCCGATCAGAGGTTTCTTCTGGTTCTCCCGCAGTTGGAAGTGGTAAAAGGGCTGCTGGAAGGTGGGGGGCTCGTCCACATCTGTGACGTTGATGATGACACGGGCGATGTTCTTGGTGGAGGTGCTGCTCAGGTAGCGGAGGTCGATGGTGGGGTCCGTGGCCTCGATGGTGAAGCTGTATTGCCGGATGCGTTCATAGTCCAGGGGCTGCGGAGGGAAAAACTATGGTGAGCACTTGCTCTGAGCCAAGCACGTGGTTGTGATTTTCACAGCGACCCTGCGAGGTCATACTGGGACGACCCCCTTTTTACAGATGAGGGGCCTGTGGCCTGGCTGTCTTCAGCTGTCTCCCGTGTATCCTGACCGTGGCTCAATTCCAAGTATTGAGGACAACCAGTGGATCAGCCACAGTCTTGCTATCAAGGGGATCACAGACCAGTGGTTCTATCCACAGCTCCTTAAAGACATTCCTTTTCTTTGTGCCTTTGCTCAAGTCGCTTCTCCTGCCCTTGCCCGCTTGGCATACTCCTATTCACCCCTCAGGAAGCCAATCTGAAGGTAATCAGATGTCCTCTCAGAACCCATTCCTGCCCCTCCCAACACAGGTAATTGCTCCCTGCCTGGGTACCCTTTATGTCTGTGTGTCTGTCCTCCCTACTGGCTGAGAGCTTTGGTACCATGGAGGCCGTCTGACTCCCCTGGGTATATCTAGTCCTCAGCACAGGGCTGGACCAGAGAAGGACTCGGGAGAAGTCTGCTGGAGGAATGGCCTGGCTCAGGCAGAGGGGTTCTGGAGTGTCCCCTTTGAGGCAGGTCGTCACTGGCCTTGGCCTCCCAGTCCTCCGCATGGCCGTTCTGAAGCAGTTTGTGCCCCTGGCAGACCTTCCCTCCTCTTCTAGATTCAGCCAGTCCAACTGCTTTCTCAGCAGCAGCCACTGCCAATGGCCACCACCTCCCCACGGCATTCACTATTTCCATACGTGCTGATGGCTTTCAGCTGCAAGCACTTGTAATCTTCCAGGGCTTTCCTGGCCCGTGCCCAGGGCAGATCAGAAAGTGCCAGGGAGGGGACTTCCCTGGTGGTCCACTGGTTAAGAATCCACCTTCCAATGCAGGGGACGCAGGTTCGATCCCTGGTCAGGGAACTAAGATCCCACATGCCATGGGGCAACTAAGCCCACGTGCCACAACTACTGATCTCCCGCGCTTCAACTAGAGAGCCCGTGTGCCGCAAACTACAGAGCCCACGCACTTAGGAACCCTCGCGCCGCAGCTACAGAGCCCACGCGCCCTGGAGCCTGCACGCCACAACTAGAGAAGAGAAAACCCACACACCACAACTAGAGAGAAGCCCGCGGGCCACAATGAAGAGTCTGCATGCCGCAACAAAAGATCCTGCATGCTGCAACTAAGACCTGATGTGGCCAAAAATAAATAAAATAAATAAATAAATCTTTAAAAAAAAAAAAGAGGAAGAAAGTGCCGGGGAGTGAGCCCCCAGGAGCCCTCAATCAGCCCACAGCTGCTGCGACTCTGAGGCATATTCCACAATGTCCCCCAGATGTCCCCAGCGGGACTGCACCCCACTCGCCCATGGTGTTCACCTGCTCATTGAGGAGCGTGTATTAGCTTTCCTCCTTTTCACATCTCACTGCTCCTGGGGCTTCCTGAGATCACTCCCCAAGTAAACTATTTACACGCAAATCCTTGCCTCAAGGTCTGCTTCCGGGGTAGCCCAGCCTAAGGCACTGACCCTTCTGTCCTGGCTCCCCTTCCCAGCGCCAGGGTCACAGTGTCCACGAGCACATGGCCAGCTCCAAACTGACCCAGAACGTGCACCTTTGGTGGCCTCTGATCCGGGAGCAGCCCCTGGCTGAGTCCTGAGGAAGCCGGGAGCCCCCACCCCCACATCTGATGTCACTGTCACAGGTCTGCGAACCTTCATGGGCTTGATGATGCCCTCGTTGCGGCTGGGGTCAGGCTCGATGGTGAAGGTGTCCCTGTACTCGCCCTGCACGATACTGTACTTTGTCTTCCGGTTCTGGGGCTCGTCTGGGTCCTCCACAAACAGAGAGCCCAGGGGGCTGCCCACACGGATGTCTTCGGGCACAGAAAATATGTACCTGGCTGATGCAAAGAGGCGCCCCAAAGGGCACTGGGTTAATGAGATAGATGAGGCGATTGTCCCCATACTATCCCAATACATTTTGTTACAGGAAACAGGCACAATGAAATAGTAGCAGCAGCAGTAGTAATTCCTCTGGAATTTTGGGTCCCAAGGCAAAGAGGTTCTGCTCTATCTGTCCTTCCATCCACCTGACAAGTAGTTATTAAGTATCTGCTGTATGTCAGGCACCTTGCTAGGGGACCTGTTAATTGACAGTTGAGAGAATCTCTGCCTTCAGGGAGCTTGTGCCGTACACAAGGAGCCCATTTCAGGAAAACCCGCCTGTCCTTGGGGTGGCTGAGCCTCTGCATGAGCCGTCAGCATTGGAGTTGCAAGTGATGAGTCATCTGACTTCCCTCCTCAGCCCAGCCAGGGTATGTCAAAAGCTCTTGTCAGACATGTTTCTCGGGGGAGAATCAGTCTGTGGGTGGGTCAGAGCCCAGCCCTGGCTCTGGAGATTTGCTTGAACCCCTGTTCCCCAGCTCATGGGGATTTTCTAGTTGGGGTCTGGGTTTTCCTGAGCCCATGGGATCTGGGTGAAAGTGGTCCTATCTAGTAGTGGGACTCTGGGCACACGGTGGCACACAGCAGGGAGTGTGACTCCCTGCTGGCCTGTGAGGGCTCCGTGGCAGGGGCAGTTGGACAGCCTTGGGAACGTGTTCAGAGATGGGGAACACCGGAAAGACGCCCCTGACGTAGGCCCGCCCTGGGTTGGAGAGAGAGGTAGACGGATGCCAAGATCCTCTCTGAGAGCTCCCGGGTCACCGAGCCTGGGGTATCCCAACCCTCACCCTGCCCAGGGCCCTAGGGGAGGGGCTCACACTGTGTGAAGATGGGGAAGTTGTCGTTGACGTCCTGCAGAGAGACCAGCACGGTGGCCGTGCCCGATTCCCCCCGGAGGCCCTGGGCATCTCGTGCTTCCACCACGATCTCGTACTTGGCCTGCTTCTCTCGGTCCAGGTTTTTGTTCGCTGTGACAATTAGTCCTGCAAAAAGTGTCACATCAGGAGCCGTGTTACTTGGGGAGCTTTTCAAAAATAGTGATGCCCGGCCGCTACCCATAGGGCACCTGGCTTCAGAGCTCCCCAGGTGATTTCACTGTGCAGCCAGGACTGAGAGCCAGGGGTGAACCACCTTCCACCTCCATGCCCTGCACTGCTAGGCCAAACGCCTTGGTCCAATATTGGTCCCAGCCACCTGGAGCACTGGGTTGAGCAAGAACCTGAGGCCACATCTAGGCTCAGAGTGGGAAGAGTGCTGTGATGGGTTAGCGAGGGCTGCCTTGGTGCAGCGTAGGTTGTGCTGTGTGTTTGCCATCACTCTGAAAGATGGCTTGCCTCAGGCCTGACCACCTGGACTTCTGTCTTGCTCCCAAGACTCAGTCCTTACAGTTTTGTGGGTCGCCTGGAGTGGATAATGACGATGGGCCACGTGCTCATTATACGTTACCTAATTCAGGCTTCACAGCTACCGTACAAGGTGAATATAAGCTTCCCCATTTTTGAGATTAGGGCCCTAGCTCTCACAGGGGTCAGTTGACTTGCCCAAGGTCTTTAGGAGCAGTGAGGAGCAGAAATCGGTTTGGAAACCAGATCCATTTGATTCCATAGCTGGAGCTGCTAACCGGCATTCTCTTCCACCTCTCGTGTCAATGCTTGGGTCCTGACTTTGTCCCCTGGACTTGAGTTCACGTCTTGGGCACCTGTCTGCCTCCTTCTGCCCTCACCAGCCACCTTGTCTTGACGTAGGGTACCGACTGCCTCCAAAGGGTGGTGTAGGTCAGTGGTCAGTGACACCTGGCAGACTGGGCTTCCCTTGGTGCCTGCACCTCCCCACCCCCCAAGCCAGTGCCGCCCCCGGGGGGTTAGTCACACAGACCAGAACCGCGGATGCTGAAGTGTTCCTCTCCCTTCAGGAGCTGGTACATGACAGAGGCGTGGTCTGCCACAGTGGGGTCATCTGCATCCACTGCTGTCACCTGGATGACCGAGGTCCCTGTGGGGAGAGAATCCGGGGTTGCTGTTTTGTGATGGCCAGCCCCTCACCCCATTCCCAGATGAGGGTAGATGGGGCTCAGGCTGTTCCCTGAACCCCCCCCTCCCCCAGGTCCTGAGGGAGAAAAGGCTGCTTTGTTTTCTGAGGAGCCTGCCTGGGGGCAAAGTGCTGACAGTGGTGGAGGCCCAGCTCTGTCTAACATGAAGGGCAAAGAGAACAGGTGGTTTTCATTTATGGGGGAAGTGAGGGAAGAGGTGAGTGGCTGAGGCCATGGGGAGAAACAGTAAGGGCTGCTTCTTCCTTCTGGAAACATGAGAACGAGAGAATAGGAAGGGCCCCCAAAGGGCTGGGTTCACATTTCTTTCCCCTTGAACTCCAGGCTCCCCATACTTAACGGGAAGCTCTGGTCCTGAGACCTGACAGGAGAGCCTGGACTAAGGGCTGGGGAAGGGAGCCCTTTTCTGGCACCGCCTGGAGGCTGGGGGTAGAACTGAGGAAGCAATAGTCTCCTCTGGAGGCCTGGGGTCCAGGCTGCTGACACACCTTGGGATGAGGTGTATCCCTCTCCCGCCCCCCTCCACTCCTGTATGGACCCCAAAGGTGACTCCTTGTCTTGGTGGAAGAGTTGGCCTCCTTCAAGTGCAAAGGCTACGCTCTTGGCATGCCAGCCCTAAGAGTCAGAGCAGTGGGTGGCGTTGGCTCCAAAGAGTAACAAGACGTGTGTGTGTGTGTGTGTGTGTGTGTGTGTGTGTGTGTGTGACGGTCAGGATTCCGTCTGGGGCCAGGTCAGAGCTTAGTCTTTAGGGACCAGAGTTCCTTTAGAGTCATATAAAGTGGCAATATGGGCTTCCCCATAGCTGCCTGGAACTCACTGAATCCTGCCCCAGGCAGTGAAGCTGCCGATGGGAGAGGTGCCTCCATGCCAGGGATGAGTGAGGGGAGAGGGAGACAGACAGACTGGGTACGTACCTATCCCTGACATCTCGGGCACGGAGGCATTGAACACCCGGTGCGTGAACACAGGCCAGTTGTCATTGATATCGTGAACTTTGATGGTGAAGCTGGAAGGAGACTCCAGGTTCTTCTCAGTGTTCTTGTCCACCACGAGGGCGATGAGGTGGTACTCAGAGATCTTCTCCCTGTCCAGCCTCTCAAAGGCATACACGTCCCCTGTGCTCTCATCAACCTGGAAGACCTTGCCGGCAGACTCTCCTTTGAGCTGGTACTTGGTGTTCTTGTGGTTCACGCTTGATTTAATCTAGGAAAGGAGAGGCGCCGTGAACTGGAAATAGCAGTGGTGGCTGTGTGCGTGTGAGTGTGTGCCCGTGTGAGTGTGCCAGGGCATGGCATTATTAAAAAATCAATTATATAAACTTACAATTAAATGAATCATATTAAAAACAGAGGTAGGGGCTTCCCTGGTGACGCAGTGGTTGAGAGTCCGCCTGCCGATGCAGTGGATGCGGGGTCGTGCCCCGGTCCGGGAAGATCCCACATGGGGAGTAGCGGCTGGGCCCGTGAGCCATGGCCGCTGAGCCTGCGCGTCCGGAGCCTGTGCTCCACAACGGGAGAGGCCACAACAGTGAGAGGCCCGCGTACCGCAAAAACAAACAAACAAAGGTAACGTACTATAAATCTTTTGCTTCCTAATACTGTAATTTTACTACATTTTACTATGTTCTCTTGAGTTTTTTAAAAAACTTTTTTATTTTTTACATCTTTATTGGAGTACAATTGCTTTACAGTGATGTGTTAGTTTCTGCTTTATATTGAAGTGAATCAGCTATACATATACATATATCCCCATATCTCCTCCCTCTTGTGTCTCCCTCCCACCCTCTGTATCCCACCGCTGTTCTTGAGTTTTTATGTTGATCATATTGAATGATGGAAATATTGGATAGTGCTGTGTTAATGCACATCTGTTCCCAACTCTGCCTTCAGAGGCATCAAGTTGGTAGCTTGCAACAGACATGGTGAAAGTATTTACACCAAGGAAATTGGCAAATGCTACAAACAGGATCTTTTCCCCTCAAAAGCCAGTTGTCAACTATTTATCAGCACATCACTGGTCTCAGTCATTTAGTTTTGGAATGGTGCATAAAATGTTCTCTTTTTGGAGATTTACAACACACAGTTCTGCAGAAAAGAACTCCACTGAGCTTTGTTTAACTCAGGGTTTCCTATACTTGTTAGACCACTGAATCCTTTTTCTTTGTTACACATACTATGAGTGTCCTTAGGAATAAGACTTGGAAAATAATGTGTGTAAAGCAATTTGCACAGGCTCTCAATAAATGCTAGTTGTTATTCACACTAGATGCCTACATTAAAGGATATTAGAAGTTTAGAATTGCTGAACATTTCATTTATGGAATCTTGGAAACAGAGGCTATTAGGAACATTAGCTAATCATACTTCATACATGTCGAATGGTCCTCCCATAGGTGGTTAGGATGTTCAAAAAATAGAGTTCAATTCAGTAAAAGAAAAAAATCAGATGCCTACAAGGTGCCAGCCTGGGAGCATAAAGATAGTCCAGACCCCATTCTTTCTCTCAGGGCCTGGTTTGAAGCAGCAGAGGCTGAGATTTTGAGGAAGGGCAGCATTTAAGGGTCAGTTGGAACAAGAACCTTGAGTGAAGGTGTTGCATCAGAAAGGCTGGAGGAGAGCCCGAGAGCGAGTGGGGTCTCAAGACAGAAGAGGGAGCATCAAGATGGGTGTGGTCAAATCCCATGAGGTCTGGAAAGCATCCCTAGGCTTAGCAGGGGTGCAGTCATCGGAGCCCTTGGTGAGAGCAGCGTTAGTGGGTGGTGGATTGAGAAGCCGGGTGACAGGGCTTTATTATTATTATTATTATTTTTTTTTGCGGTACGCGGGCCTCTCACTGTTGTGGCCTCTCCCGTTGCGGAGCACAGGCTCCGTACGCGCAGGCTCCGTACGCGCAGGCTCAGTGGCCATGGCTCACGGGCCCAGCCGCGACGCGGCATGTGGGACCTTCCCCGACCGGGGCACGAACCCGCGTGCCCTGCATCAGCAGGCGGACTCTCAACCACTGCGCCTCCAGGGAAGGCCCCGAATGACAGTGCTTTAGAGAAGAGTCTGGGAGGTGAGGAAGTGGGGACAGGGAGTGAGGCTCCTCCCCCTTGGTGGGCGGGGCGGGAGAGAGGTGGGGCTGTAGCAGGAGGTAGTGAAGAAGTGTCCTGGAGCAGGGCTGCGGGTGTGCAGGGGCAGATGGTTCGTGGGGAAGTCCCGAAGCCCAGTGGCCGGGACATATGATGAACAGATGGGCAGGAGGCAAGAAGTGATGCGCCAGCTCTGGAACCTGTGACTTGGGCGGGAGGACAGTGGGGGTCAAGAAGGAGGGACAGTCTGGGGCCCTGTATGAGTTACTCAGGGTTAGGGTAGGATGGTCGTTCCAAATCTGGTTCTGGTGGGTGCATTAGGATCCATGTGGGCAGGGGTAGCAAGGGGGCGTGAGTCAGCTTTGATCTGTTACTGGAATTCTGCCTGAGATTGCATTTGACTCACACCTAAACAGCTTTGATAAAAATTTCTCAATATCATCAAATAAATAGTGTTAAAAAGACTTCATTTGGATATGAGTTTCTGTTTTCCTTCCCTCCAACTTTTCTTAAATAGACTTTATATTTTAGAACAGTTCTAGATTTATAGAAAAATTGAGGTGATAGTACAGAGAGTTCCCATACATCCTGTGCCCAATTTCCCTGTTATTAACATCTTACATTAGTATGGTACATTTGTTGTAATTAATGCACCAATATTGATATATTTTTATTAACTAAAGTCCATATTTTGTGCAGATTTCCTTAGTTTTTACCTAATGTACTTTTTCTGTTTGAGGATCCCACCCAGGATACCACATTACATCTAGTTGTCATGTTTCTTTCTTTTTTTTTTTTTTTTTTTTG